AAACTTCGGATAAAATTCTCAATTTTTCCAAGATCTTTTTAATAACAATGGCTACGTATCGAGTCGTAGATACATCAATAAGTTCATCCCCGTCAATAACTTTAGTCTAATTTCCATTGTCACTTCAAATAATTAGACTAAATCTTCGACCTTCATTCTTCAGATCTTCTCATTTCTTATCCAATCTCCTCATTGCACGTAGGCGACACCGAGCTTCAGACTAACAACATTACTGGAAATAACAATTACAATAAGAACGGAATAGATCCCGAAGGTTTTCCTTCCATTAAGTTTTAATTGAATCGCGCATAGACCTGCCATTAAGGTTTGCAATTCTATAGAATCCTACAAACGATATTAGACTAACAAAGTGAAACAAACTTGTTCAGTAAGTTTCTTTCGCTGTTCTTGTTATTGTAATTTTCCCCGAGGTGAGGGTGGATTTTCTCGTAATCCTTTTCCCTGATAGAACTTTCTCTTCAACGTCTGAAAAGTGATATTGTTGGGAATCTTTCGCCAATTGTAATATGATAAGTGTAAGCCTACTTTGTTTTCAAAGTAATATAATATCTTTCGGATACTTGCCTCTCCATTGATAATAAATAACTCTGTTAAAATACGCCTCAATTTCGTTATTAATCAAACTTCTCCAACAAATAAGCCAATGCGAAACTTTTTTATTGAATCTTACTTTTAAGAGGATAAGAAAGAGTCGGGATAAGGTTTTGATCAATCGTTCAGATTCAATGCGATCGCTGAAAGAATATAATGATACAGACGATTAGGTAACATTTACATAGCTTTTACCTATGGATATGGTTCTAGAGAACAATTTACGAGTTCTTTGTTCAGAAATGGACAGCTGCTCTATGTTAGCTAAGCTAAGCTTATAGTGCGCATACTTCCAGTCCGAGTTTAGAGAATAAACACAATAATGATAACGTTTCAGTGCGAAATTTTGTCTAATCATGCTCTGCGTAGAGGCTTATGTTCAGCAGTGGACGTCCTGTGACTGAAATGATGATGATGATGATGATGATAATGATCATGCTCTGTGCAGAGCTTACCTCGCTTGTATTTTAACATGAATTTAACAGTCAACATACTGAAAATATATATTACGGATACTATCCGGCCAGGGTAGTGTAGAAAAATCTTCCATTTAGCCTCCAGAAAATCTCCACAGCTGACCAAATGATGATGACGAAGATTATGTAACTTTCCATAAAGTCCCCGGTAGGTAACATTAGTGGACTAAAATGGTATATTGCTTGTTCTATCCCCAAGGTGTGCGAAGGCCTAAACATGCAGCTAGCCTCAATCCACTCCCTCGAAGAAGAGCGCTTCATAATCTCCGGCATCAGACAGAGCAGCGACTACAGCGCGGGCGCCATTTACTGGTTAGGGGCCAAGCTGGGCAAGAACGCGGAGAACTTCACCTGGGTTGATGGAACTGCTGTAGGGTATCAGGGCTGGCCGCCTTATAATGAGACAGAGGACTCTGAAGACGAATGCTTGGGTGTTCAGGTATGTGTGGCTAATCTAAACTAGGAGGTATGAGTTGTCTCTTGAATGATATTCATCTAGTGTAAAACTTTTTAAGTCGCTAGCTAAGGGCATTTGAGATGGTTGAATCGTTATCCTAATCAAACAGGAAACACAAATGGAGATCACAAATAAAATTACTTTGTTGAAAGAAGTTGCATTAATCTGCATTATGAGATCTTTAAAATACCGTTTTCTTGTCACCCTTTATCTTACCCAAACGTTGTTGCTGACTAGAAAATCAATTTAAAATAGCGAATTACCAAGTCTCGCTTCCGATAAGGATTCGATCATCGATGCTCCTGCAGTTAAAACTGAATGGCCTGATCATGATGAGTCTAATCTAGGTACCAAATCGTAACTAAGTATATCTTCGAATTTCTTTTTACAAATACTTTCCATTGCAGTGGAAGTCATCACCAATTCCATCGCAGCCGAGCGGCCTGTATTGGACGCTGCACAGATGCGGGACCACCGGGGGCTACGTGTGCAAACGAAAGCTCAACCCTGAACATGTCGTGAGGAACAGAACTGTTGAGGGAACATCAGGTACGTAAGATTATACAACAATCCTGTAAATGATAACAAACAAAGTATGTACACACGCCCACACTGTTATCTATCCATTTCCGTTTTTGCTCTCGCTCTAATCAAATGTCGATTCTTTGCGATAGAACGAGATGACATGACTTTCAATGGGCAGTTAACACTGTTGGCGATAGTACCTACCTACTGTTTCCCATGTTCCCATTCTTTTTTTCATGCAAAGTCTGTGGAAAGGATTTTAATAACAATTTCAGAATATTTTAATAAACTAATTTTAATTTCATCAATATCTTTATGCTAGTTACTCAAAGAGGGGTGGGTCTTTCTTTACGTGGGCTTTTCATGGTCCGTCAAAATCCTTATTCATGAAAAATCAAAGTAAGGTACCCACATAGAAGAAATCGACTCTACCAAAAATTTTTCTTACACAACATTATCTGTTACATCTACATAGGTTACATACAAGGTTCATAGGCATACCTTGCCGTGCCCTAGAAACCAGAATTTAAACATAACACCCAGGCCAGCGATGACCCTTGAGTCGTACTTTATACCCTGAAACATACACCCTTAAAATTCCCATTTCCAGGGGAGCTATCAAGCCCAAACTACCCGAGCCACTACGACAACGATTTAGACTACTGGGTGCACGTAGGCGGGCCGCCCGACACTCGCCTGGTCTTCGTCTTCAGGAAAATCGAGCTGGAGTACCAGAAGGACTGCCTCTATGACTTCATTGAGGTAAGGGACTCCTATAATTTGGAAAGGTCTCACAATCAGCGCATTTATCTCCCTGTCCCGAAAGTAGCTGGCATGCTCAATGCCTTCTGCAGTCGCCAATGCCTCTCTATCTGCCTCATTAACGGAGAGGGATGACCAGGGTTCATGGTGACCTACTACCTGAGCCAACGACTACAACAACGACTTTTACTAAGCACTGGGTGCGTCTGGCACGCTCTTGGTATTCGTCTTCTGGAAGATCGAGCTGGAGTACCAGAAGGACTGCCTCTACGACTTCATTGAGGTAAGGGGCTCTTATAATTTGGGAAGGTTTCACAATCAGCGCATACATCTCACTGTCCCGAAAGTAACTGGCATACTCAGTGCCTTCTGCAGTCGCCAATGCCTCTCTATCTGCCTCGTTAACGGAGAGGGATGACCAGGGTTCATGGTGACCTACTACCTGAGCCAACGACTACAACAACGACTTTTACTAAGCACTGGGTGCGTCTGGCACGCTCTTGGTATTCGTCTTCTGGAAGATCGAGCTGGAGTACCAGAAAGACTGCCTCTATGACTTTATTGAGGTAAGGGACTCTTTTGATTTGGGATGATCTTAACTAGCGCATATCTCTACCTCTCCCGGAAGAAGGTCGTAGCTATCCAGGAAGACTGAGACATATGGAACATAAATAAGAATATTCTTTCAGGATTATTTTCAGATGAAACTTTAGGATGCCATTTATAATAAACTTTCCAAACTCATTTTCTTCTACTTTAATCCTAGATAAACGCAATGGATAAGTATCGCGGCTGCACACAGCTACCTCCTTGACTGCGCGACACTGGCCACCAAGAAAACAGCATTATTTTTCTCGACGACCAATTTCGCTACTCTTTTTTTTTTCTCACTCTCGCTCGACTTTCACGTAATGCATTTCCACGTCTCGAATATGTAAATACATTCGTACAGATATTGATAGCCATAGAATAAAAAATATATCTACCTACAATTACATGTTACGGAATCGTAAGTACGTACTGGTTAAGATTAATGACGTATCCTCGTGACGTATATGTGTTGAGCGACTTCAGGCCCATTAGTTACTTGGATAGCTGTGTACCATTATAGTGGTCTAAACCAATCAGTTTCTAAAGGGATTAATATACAACTTATTACGAGCAACCTCGGAAATTGCTTTGTTTAATCTCGAACGTTCGGCCTTTTCATCGATAACGGCATTGTTTGAACCCGNCGTTTTACATAAATATATTGACTTGGCCATCGCATGAAAACACGTGTAAATTAAATTATTTAGTGCGATGGCCAAGTCAATATATTTATGTAAAACGTTAAAGATTTCCTGGCCTGGACTTGGTATTACATGGATCTCACAACTTTTTACCGTAGAACAACTGAGTTGCGAGACTTGGTTTTTTTGACAAGTATTGTTTTTGATGGGATACGCTTTTTCGTGATTCGACCCACGAATTGATCCGCAATGCATATTATAAAAATAAGACCTACTGAGCTTGCAGAATCTACCATTTCAATTTAATCATACAAAGTAGTATCTTTTTCACTTCTCTCGAAATATTTTTTTAGTTTCAATATGAATAATGTTGCCATTTGCAAAAATACGTTCGCGCGGGAACTCATTCCGAACATGCACCGCACTCTAATATTTATGATAATGGTTTCTAACAATGGAATCGAACATCGGCCGAGGAACAGTGTCGCCAATCTGGGCTACAAATCGGTTGCCATGCCAGATTTATGCAACGTACAGTACAGCAATTCAGTATAACTTCTTATATCATGCGCTAATTTCAGTTTTTCATAAAAGATCAAGGAATAATGTCCAACTTTGTTCTACAACTGCAACTTTCTTGGTATTAAAAATTTGGTAATAACCTGCTTATTTATTTTACGCACACAGAGCTGGGTAATGTTTTCATAGAGTTATTTTATGTATTTTGATGGATGAAGCAAAACTTACACTGTGTTCAAATGACTTTTACGTGAACGTTTAAAAGCGCTTTTTATAAGTTTTTTTTTCTGTGAAACTAGATAAGAGGGAAGTTGCGCCGTTATTTTTTAAAGAGGTGTGCTAAATGCACATTATTTTTGAGCAATAATTGTTTTTTTTTGTATCTTCTTGTCTTCTGACATCTTCTTTTCATTCCAGGTGTGGGAAGAGCCCGAATACCTTCTACCAGAGTCAGATTCCACCAGTGCGGGGTGGTCGCGAGACGCTCACGCAACGCGCGCGCGCCGATTATGCGGCGACTGGGGCGGCAAGCTGAAGCTGCTGCGATACCAGTCAAGGACCAACGAGCTGCGCCTGCGGTTTCGATCCGACCACTCGAGACACTTCGCGGGGTTCAAGGCCAAGATCACTGTTGCTGATTGTGAGTGAATTATTTAATTATTTTAAGCGGCAATAGCCAGTGGTGTCGGCCTGCCAATTTGAGGGAGGGCCAGAATACCTCCAACCATAGTTTAATTCCACCAGCGTGGGCTAACCGCGACTGGGGCGGCAAGTTGAAGCCACTTCGTTACCTCTCTTGGCACTAGGTACTGTTTCTGATTGTGAGTAACTAAGTTTGTCACCGTTTACAGGATTCTTTTGCGGCATTTGGAGAATTTCATTGGTCAGACTTCTTCTGTGTCACCGACTTGTGGATGTACTTCATCGTTAACCAGCTGCTTGCCACTGATAGATGAAAGCAAAATCTCAAGCATCGGTATCTCCATAACTCGCTGAAAGTAGAGATGTGCATCAGCTGTCGCAGTAGATGTTACATTCCCAAGCGCCAGATTTTGGTCCAACAAAGATATTTCAATCGCAAGCTTGAAAAATCCTTTCAGCTTTAAAGAAGCTTCGTTGTGTGCTTTCAATAATGTTGCCTCAAAAGCAGCATTCAATACACCTGTTGACGTTTCAAGAACATCGCGAACAAGGCTACTAAGCTTTCAAAAGCTCACGTGGAACAATGAATTCGCTCGGCTCAGTGGCACAGCGCATGGTAATCTACAAAAAAAGCTGTATTTTCAATTTCAACTCTGTACTCCTATTCCGGTTTCAATGGAACCCGGAACGGATGTGTTTAGGGTTGTCGACATCAATATTAATATTTTAGTACCTACTTTTTTTCTATCGTATNCATTTTTAAATGACCTCTATGAAAACAAAATTCCTGTTATGTGTTACCATAGGGGTCACTTAAAAATTAGGGATTGACTGTGAAAACGGGCAATAGACCCGTAACAAGCGCCCTGCTAGGGTATTACAACATGAAATTAATTACTAAATCTTTAATTAATTAATTGTCATAAGTAATTATAAAACATATATTACGGGAAATCTAGATAATTAACCATTACAATCCTAGAGCAATGGCGTCAATGCGCCAACTATTCCGTAGCAATGTATATTAGCTTCCATTTCCACCTAAACTTTTCTAATTAAAATTCTGATCGTGATATCACAAACTAATTTACAATGAAAACCAGCCTCGAACAGTTGAAGGATTAGATTCTGGTAATCGCGTTATCTACGCAATCTAACTAAAGCTTGACACTTAACTTCGGTTCTGATTAACATACTAATTGGTTTGCAAGTGATTTAGTTTCAGTAGATTGAGTTAAAGTCGGGTACGTTTACGTAAAATAACTGTCGTAGTTTGAATGCAAATTACTACTTCTGTGTTATGGGTATTAAGTAACTCCTACATAGTGTTCTCATGTGCTTGTTGATTTTTTTACACACACGTCTCTTGGTTTTACATTACGATTCTACATCTAGGTATGCTAATTTAAATTTGCAATTTTTTTTTATCCACAACGAGGAAGCTCTTGGCCTGTATCTCACCTGATGGTAAGTAATGATTAGGCCGAAGGTGGGAGCGAGCTTCACCCGGAATCCTCAACCACTTACCTCTAACTGCTATTACTCAAGTTGAAAAGCATGCTTCTGAATAGGAAGCTGCCATACCATACTCGTATTAGTTCCTCAATCAGTATACAACAACCGTAACCTGATTTGTGATTATTTCCCTTTAAAGCTTATTGTTCCGTGAAATTAAAAAGCTGTCAACTATCGGCTTTGTTTAGGCGACGGCTAATCCCCCATATTAGGTATATTGGAATTCCAGCCTTGCAGAAAACGAATTTGACGCGGATTATAATAAACCCCGGGCAAAACCAGTAAAGCCGTTCCCGGGAAATTTGTTACCTCCACAATCCACATTCATAATTAGTGTGCCCAAACATACTTTGTGAAGAGGATATTCAGAATGTGACGATGTTTGTTCTTCGTAGCATATCTTATTAGTACAAACAGAGGATTTGTTGACAAACCTACCTGATGGTAGAACGAGCTAAAAATTTAGGCCTTTTCAAAAGAAACATAATTTGATTAGTAGTAAATTGCAAAAAGATGAGACATAAAAAACAACGTTAAACAGGCCACCAATTTATCTCAGATTGAGATAAGTTTTTCATTAAAGTGAGACCACACAGAAATGTAGACTTCGTTGTTGACCCTGACTATAAAAATACTTAGGTACTAAAGATATAAATACAAATAAATGGGAGCTTGATAAATCACTTGCTCTCCATTAAACAAGTTTAACTGATGATAAATGGATGGAAAACTCTATTTTGTTATAAGCACAAAACAAATTCAAACGACAGACGATAATTTTTACTGTATTCTATTTAGGCTTTGTATTTGGGCATCCCACAGTTCACCACGTCATTATTTCAAAGCTCTCACGCTAGCATAAAAGCTTCGTTTCATTTTATCTTTTTGGACAACACGCAGCATTTTTCGTCCAAAAACTGGTCACTTCCCCGACCCGTATCAACCCAACTAACAATATTAGCGACGTTAAAACGCTGCTAAATACATCGCTCTCTTTGTCCCGGCCTTTCTTATTATTTTTACACAAAGCAGGCTATGGGTCTTTATGTTACAGACTAATTATGAGTTTACGCTAGAGCTTCAGTGTTACTAATGAAGTTGCCAGCTTTCGTTAACAATATTAATTTGGGTTGGCAGTCAGTGCTTTTTTGGTAACTACTACTTTAATATAACTTCCTTTCATGCAAAAATGTATAAAATTGTGTCAAGTACAAAAAACTCTAAACTCGATTCAAATTCAAGCAAAGATTCGAGGCTGTAACAGAATTACAATATTTAGACAAATCAAAGACTTAAATCTATTCTATTGTAGATTTATTCATGATTGTGGCTTCATAGAAAGGGGTTTTGACTTTCAGATTTCGGAGAAAACTAAAGATAAATTCGATTTTCTACTTTCACAACTTAGTCTCATATTCGTAATAGCTGCTAATGTACTTTTTCATGCAACTGAAATATAAAACAGCGTAATAAAACGTTCAGCATAGCCGCTTGCTAACTAGGCCTCTTGTGCACAGACTATGATCCGCCATTATGGTATAATGATTATACTTGATGTACGTTTGAAAGCATTCATTCAGGCATTTTGAATAGGTCCACCCTTTAGGTCATATTGAGAACGATGGTATTTCTAGGCTAACAATAGTTGTAGGCAGGTAGTTGTTTTGGTCTGTAACAACATTGAAGATGTGTGATTCAGGAGTGCGTTTGAGAGATAAAAAAATAGTGTTAAAGCATAACGAGGTTCAGTTAACGGACTTCTTCTTACGCACACGCTAACTAATTTAGATTATACCGATTTTAAATTGAACCCAACTGTACCTTAACCCGATAAACACAGCTCAAAAGGAATTCACGGCTACACTAGCCACCCAGCTGTCCAACCCAGAACATACTTGAATTTTCCTTGTCCGAATGGTTTTCTATTTATGCATGAACTACTTTTCAGTACAAAAGAAATATGGGCAGATAGGGATTCTCTCTCGTAATGCACCGAATATTAATAAAGGAAAAAATTCTGTTTTGCTCACAAAAAATAATAAGCATTTCGCATGAATGCGTTGTGTAGTCCATCCATCAAACAGTGGATACATAAGAAAGAACTGAAATAGCCCTACAGAGTCTTTGATAAATCGACTACAGGCATAAATAAATTCATAACAATGGAGAGATGTTATGGATTGGACAGGCCGAGCTATGGTAACATAGTAGGGCAGATAAGGCGCGGAGAAATATCATATTTGCTGGCTACTTATTTTTTTCTTTACCGGTTTCTTTGAAGCAAGTCCATTGCTAAATCAGAAGAACTCTATATTTTCAATCGAACAGCGGAAAGTGCGTCTGAATAGACTTGAAAGATCTGAAAAGATTATTTTGGAGGACAGACAAATCTAAAACTAGTGCATAGTTTTTTTAACTATACCTACTGTAGTACATAAACTGACAATAGTGAGTTTTTTGCGCTGCTTCTACTCAGCACTGGCCCATATTACAGTCCCGAAGCAGTGGTAGGGTTGGGACGTGCAAAAGTACTTTTTGGGAGCCTACTTTCATAACGATTTCAATTCGAAACAGGGAGCACTTACAAACTGTAGTTTTAAATCGATTTATATCCCTCTTTAAAACGGAATTCCAGTGCATTCCCCCGTGGCGAATGTGTGCCATAGCCCATAATGGATGTAGTTAGCGAGAGCCTAGTTTTTTTGCGTGTGAATATTTTAGAGGTGCAGCGCTGTTTCAGCTGGGCGTAGGTCGGATTGTCTCGCTGAACTGGGTCGGTTATAGTGGTTTAACTTGAAAATCAATTTATTTTTTTTAACTTATGGAATCAGTTTTTTTTTATTTTTTGGTACAAAATGACGTCAGAGAACATTCATAACTTCTTTGTGCATAAAATGTAATGCAAAGTAGTAAAAGGCCTAGGCATAGGCAGGATGGGCAACTTCAGTCAAAATAAAAATATAAAAAACTAGATAAACACTTTATGTTGAACTTACAAACAAATATTATAGCTCCGTAGTAAAGAAGACCAAAGTCACAATATAAGAAAACTAACCCCATTGAGACATCAGAAAAGGTGTTTATTTTATGAAGCAAGTTCTAACACCTCATCAATTTTTTCAACTCGTATAATACAAAATGTATTTAAGATGAGTCTAATTACCGAAGTTTTCGGTTACGACGACCGAACATTGTTCAAGAGGCCCTATAATAAGAAAAGTTTGCGAATAACTTATTTATAAACATCCTTTCTTGTGTTACGTAAAATTTCAGTTACCGTAGCAACGTGATGTTTTTAATATCCCCTTTTTACTCGAATGCGCCAGACATAAAGTATTTTTTCACTTTCGAGAAGCGTTTTCGAGAATCTCGATTTTTATGAAACACCACATTGGGCGCCAATTTGTAAAGTCAACAAAGTCGTTTATTTACAAAAAAAACTTCGTTTCAACTGAGTAAACTGGTGTTTTTCCTCGAATTTGCTGAAGTCAGTGATTCCAGTCGGTTATTTCCTTTTTTTAATTATCTATCACTTCACACCACAGTTTCCCTACTTTATTTTTATTCAATCTATAACCTTTGTACTGACTTTCAAACTAACGACCAAAAACTTACTTTACTCACTAAAATAGCACCAATTTCCTCTGACAAATTTCCATCTGCAAACATGGTCCTTCGAACGCAAAGAACAAGCAAATACATTGGGAACCCACGGAATATTTTATCGAATGACTCCATTCGACCTTTTCCCAGCTGATTGAGTGCGGATCTATCACGGTTCACACGCACTAGACCGCTGCGACATGGCGCGTGGAGCCGGCGTGAAGTATTTACAACCTGCCTAGGGTAGGGTGGCTAGACTTTAGATACAGGACAGAAAGTAAGAAAGATTGTTTATGTATTTATTTAGATCTTCCAAACATTCAATTTTCAAACATCGTTCTTATCCAAGAACAAGCTGACTCCATTCGGCCCTTTCTCAGCTGATTGAGCGGATCTATAACGTTACACGCACTAGACCATTGCGACATGGTTTTTGAAGGCAAGACAGATATAGTTCCAAAATACTGAACTGTCCTATGCATGACATTAACAGTGGGGCGCCACCGTCAATACCGGATCTCTGGTTCCGATTTTTGCCATGTTGGAAACCATATAGTTGAACGATGGTAGCGCCCCCCTGTCATTGAGTTTGGTGGGACAGTTCCGCGTGGGTAATCTTTAAAAAAGTATTTTTGATGTTTTTTTTAGATCTTTCAAACATTCCATTTTCAAACGTCGTCTTTCTCTATGAACAAACAAATACGGTGGAGCCTACAGAATACTATTCGGCCCTTTCCCTTTCCCAGCTGATTGAGGTGATCGCTAGGTGACTGAATAGTGTTCGGAGCGCAGCCCGTGCAATGGGGCGAGCGCGCGAAATGGGGCGAGCGCGCGAAATGGGACGAACTACGGCCGTATAGGGTCGAGTGGATCCGTTATTACGAATGTTTTATAACGGTATCAAACCCTGCCATTCATCACAGAATTGTAAATGCTCTATTGTATATGCATACTGAAATTGTGAAGATTTCAGTGTAAAAAGATTTAGAAGTTGATGAATATATCGATGCTATGTTCGGCTAAAATCATGGCCACCTGACATCTCTAGGTGACTGGATAGAGCGTTCGGAGCGGCCCGCGCAATGGGGCGAGCGCGCGAAATGGGACGAACTACGGCCGTATAGGGTCGAGCGGATCCTGTGTTACGAATGTTTTTAGAACAGTCCTGATGGATGGAATGGAGACGGAAAACGTTCTATTTTGTTGCTGGAAATATTCAGGATTTCTGTTTCTATAGAAAAGACATCAATTGATGAAATGTCTACATTCTATTGCTATTAATCGGTATCTACCTACACTGGCGTTTGTAGATCTTATTTTAATTAGCAATTCAAGATCCTAAAATTAAGCTTTACATTGGGCACATTCTATGGCAGTCCCATAAAACTGAAAAATCTTGGCGAATTAGAAGTTTAAGTAGGACATACCTACGAGTATATAACATAGTGAGATATTTTGTCGTTGATTTGTGTATATTTGAGACAAAAACAAAATGTGTACCATTTACACCTAAAACGTTGTATTGCTTAGTTCGTGATATCCCTTGCTAAATTCAATTTTGATTCAAATAAACTTCTTTTGACTCCTCTCAAATGGAATTACTTACCTTTAACGTGAATTCACAATAAAGGTCTGAGCCTTTGGAAAACGTTTGAATTACTTTTATTTGGATTACAAATTGTTTGTTCAAAGGCTTGCGAAATGTTTTTCTCATTTCTGTTTGTTGACGTCACGCGCGCAAAACCGTTGAAACTTGAATTATTTTGTTCACAGCTCAAGCTTGCATGGACGTCAAGCAGGTTCTCTTCAGCAGCCACTGTTACCTGTTCTCTGGGTACCCGAGAGCCTCATGGGTCACTGCTAAGCAGGTAAGATGAAAGCTGACAATAAATTGTAATCTAAGGCTGGGTTGCACCATCTTACTTTAACTTTGACCAACGTCAAAAATCTGTCAAACTCCATATAAAAAACACCGGTTATCGTCATAGTTACGGTCAAAGTTAGGTGGTGCAACTCAGCCTAAAAAGATAATAATTCTTTTGTATTATAATTTTAGTCCATTTAAGTCTCCAGCATTGGCTAATGCCGGTACCTCGAAACCTGTCGTTTAAAAATAAGTGTTTGAGATTGTTGCTCCGGCTACACTTCAAATATTCAAATACCCTTTGCTTGCCGGACGATTAACTTCCTCTAACAACCTTTTGATTTCGCGTCGCAGCACTATCATAGAAGGTTGCATTGTATCACCCACCATTAATTTAGTCGTGGGTTCGACTCTCACAAGCGATGTTGTGTTATTTTAAAGTAAAGGTGCAAGTAATATGGTGCTAAATATTACATTTTTTTCTTTCTTTTAAAAAAACTTCGGATATAATTCTCAATTTTTCCAACAGATCTTTTTATTAACAATGGCTACGTATCGAGTCGAACATCTATAAGCCCATCCACGTCAATAACTTTATAGTCTACATCCATTGTCACTTCAAATAATTAGACTTCGACCCTCATTCTTCAGATCTTCTCATTTCTGATCCAATCTCCTCATTGCACGTAGGCGATACTGAGCTTCAGACTAACAATATTACTGGAAATAACAATTACAATAAGAACGGAATAGATCCCGAAGGTTTTCCTTCCATTAAGTTTTAATTGAATCGCGCATAGACCTGCCATTAAGGTTTGCAATTCTATAGAATCCTACAAACGATATTAGACTAACAAAGTGAAACAAACTTGTTCAGTAAAAGTTTCTTTCGCTGTTCTTGTTATTGTAATTTTCCCCGAGGTGAGGGTGGATTTTCTCGTAATCCTTTTCCCTGATAGAACTTTCTCTTCAACGTCTGAAAAGTGATATTGTTGGGAATCTTTCGCCAATTGTAATATGATAAGTGTAAGCCTACTTTGTTTTCAAAGTAATACAATATCTTTCGGATACTTGCCTCTCCATTGATAATAAATAACTCTGTTAAAATACGCCTCAATTTCGTTATTAATCAAACTTCTCAAACAAATAAGCCAATGCGAAACTTTTTTATTGAATCTTACTTTTAAGAGGATAAGAAAGAGTCGGTATAAGATTTTGATCAATCGTTCAGATTCAATGCGAGCGCTGAAAGAATTTATTGATACAGACGATTAGGTAACATTTACATAGCTTTTAGCTATGGATATGGTTCTAGAGAATAATTTACGAGTTCTTTGTTCAGAAATGGACAGCTGCTCTATGTTAGCTAAGCTAGCTTATTGCACATTACTTTCAGTCCGAGTTTAGAGAATAAACACAATAATGATAACGTTTCAGTGCGAAATTTTGTCTAATCATGCTCTGCGTAGAGGCTTATGTTCAGCAGTGGACGTCCTGTGACTGAAATGATGATGATGATAATGATCATGCTCTGTGCAGAGCTTACCTCGCTTGTATTTTAACATGAATTTAATAGTTAACACACTGAAAGTAGTCGCCCAACCTGTCTGGCCAGGGGAGTGTAGACAAAATCTTTCATTTGCCTCCAGAAAATCCCCACAGCTGACCAATGATCACGAAGATTATGTAACTTTCCGTAAAGTCCGCGGTAGGTAATATTAGTGCACTAAAATAGTATATTGCTTGTTCTATCCCCAAGGTGTGCGAAGGCCTAAACATGCAGCTAGCCTCCATCCACTCCCTCGAAGAAGAACGATTCATAATCTCCGGCATCAGACAGAGTAGCGACTACAGCGCGGGCGCCATCTACTGGTTAGGAGCCAAGCTGGGCAGGAACGCGGAGAACTTCACCTGGGTCGATGGAACTGCTGTGGGGTACCAGGGCTGGCCGCCGTACAATGAGACCGAGGACTCTGAAGACGAATGCTTGGGTGTCCAGGTATGTGTGGCTAATCTAAACTAGGAGGTATGAGTTGTCTCTTGAATTATATTTATCTAGTGTAAAACTTTTTAAGTCGCTAGCTAAGGGCATTTGAGATGGTTGAATCGTTATCCTAATCAAACAGGAAACACAAATGGAGATCACAAATAAAATTACTTAGTCGAAAACATTATAAGATCTTTAAAATACCGTTTTATTGTCACCCTTTATCTTACCCAAACGTTGTTACTGACTAGAAAATCAATTTAAAATAGCGAATTACCAAGGTCTCGCCTCCGATAAGGATTCGATCATCGATGCTCCTGCAGTTAAAACTGAATGGCCTGATCATTATGAGTCTAATCTAGCTACCAAATCGTAACTAAGTATATCTTCGAATTTCTCTTTTCAACAACTTTCCATTGCAGTGGAAGTCATCACCAATTCCATCGCAGCCAAGCGGCCTGTATTGGACGCTGCACAGATGCGGGACCACCGGGGGCTACGTGTGCAAACGAAAGCTCAACCCTGAACATGTCGTGAGGAACAGAACTGTTGAGGGAACATCAGGTACGAAGGATTATACAACAATCCTGTGAATGATAATAAACAAAGTATGTACACACGCCCACACTGTTAACTATCCATTTCCGTTTTTGCTCTCGCTCTAATCAAATGTCGATTCTTTGCGATAGAACGAGATGACATGACTTTCAATGGGCAGTTAACACTGTTGGCGATAGTACCTACCTACTGTTTCCCATGTTCCCATTCTTTTTTTCATGCAAAGTCTATGGAAAGGATTTTGATATCTTTATGCTAGTTACTCAAAAAGGGGTGGGTCTTTCTTTACGTGGGCTTTTCATGGTCCGTCAAAATCCTTATTCATGAAAAATCAAAGTAAGGTAGTTACCTAGGTACATAGAAGAAATCGACTCTACCAAAAATTTTTCTTACACAACATTATCTGTTACATCTACATAGGTTACATACAAGGTTCATAGGCATACCTTGCCGTGCCCTAGAAACCAGAATTTAAACATAACACCCAGGCCAGCGATGACCCTTGAGTCGTACTTTATACCCTGAAACATACACCCTTAAAATTCCCATTTCCAGGGGAGCTATCAAGCCCAAACCACCCAAGCCACTACGACAACGACTTAGACTACTGGGTGCACGTAGGCGGGCCGCCCGACACTCGCCTGGTCTTCGTCTTCAGGAAGATCGAGCTGGAGTACCAGAAAGACTGCCTCTATGACTTCATTGAGGTAAGACTCTCAAGATCTGGAAAGTTCTAACCATAGAGATATAGAGAGATGCCAACTAATGCGCTGAGTTCGAATCTCCATTAGAAATTCACACACACAAAGTAATCAAAATTTAAGCTCATTATCCACTGCGGTATCAGTACTCAACGTTTAGAATAATCTTTAGCAATGTAAACTGTTTACATTATGACGTCGCTGCTGTCGTCATTGCTGTCATGAGCACTGTGTTCTGTTTTTGGGCATATTGCTGCGACACCGGCCCCACCCCCTTGTCACATCTCCCTGTGATTTGTGGTTCTAACAATCAGCACATATATCTCTCTTCCTTTCCCTGAAGAAGGTAGCAGTCTGAGTGCCATCTGCAGTCACCAGTCATCTCGTTCTCCCTGTTTCGTTACCGGAGCGGAATGGGGATCTACCCTTTCTCTCTCTTTCATTAACACCTTTAGCACAACTTCTTAACTTAACAAAAAGGATTTCGAAAGATATGGAAATTAAATAAGAATATTTTTTCAGATGAAACTTTGGTACCTATGCCATTGATAATAAACTTTCCAAACTCATTTTCTTCTACTTTAATTCTAAATAACGCAATTGCGGCTGCACACAGCCACCTCCTTGACTGCGCGACACTGGCCACCAAGAACAGCATTCTTTTTCTCGACGACCAATTTCGCTATTCTTTTGTTTTTTCTCACTCTCGACTTTCACGTAATGCATTTCCACGTCTCGAATATGTAAATACACTCGTACAGATATTGATAGCCATAGAATAAAAAATATATCTACCTACATGTTACGGAATCGTAAGTACGTACTGGTTTAGATTAATGACTTATCCTCGTGACGTACCTATATGTGTTGAGCGACTTCAGGCCCATTAGTTACTTGGTTAGCTGTATACCATTTAGTGGTCTAAACCAATCAGTTTCTAAAAGGGATTAATATACAACTTATTACGAGCAACCTCGGAAATTGCTTTGTTTAATCTCGAACGTTCGGCCTTTTCATCGATAACGGCATTGTTTGAACCCGTAAATTGGAATTGATTTCGTAATTGAGTTGCGTAAAGTATTAACGCTTCGGTGTTATCCAACATTTGGTTTTGAAAACGGCACATGTCCTTGGGAGTAATTATTTGTACGGGTATTTGATCGATTATTTGTTACCATTGAATGATGGAAATCCATTAACCCCTTTCATTCAAAGAAGGACTTTGTAAGTAACTTTAAAATAGCCACAATTGTTATCAATAAATAAAATAAACATTTTAATTAGGTACGTAGAATATGTGCTTAATGATCTCGTTAAAAAATGATCTAAAATGATCTCGTAATATCAGGTGCGATTGCGGTCAAATACCTATCATGTTCTTTTAAAAAAAATCGAGAGATAGATCAAGAAAATGATACTTTGAATTTGCTTATACTTAGATCTTTCTAGAACCTTGATTTTAGATTTTAAACTTTCGCGTTCCATTTCAATTAAAATAGTAATGTAACTCATTAATAAACGTCGCGTTAAGACCCGTGTCTTAATATTTTACTTGATTTTAGACACAATAAGGAATTTACTTAATAAAATTTCCTTTGAATAAATAATGTAACCTGCCTACTTACTTGATTTCCTTCCAAGAAAAGTTTCAAGTCAGTTCCTCTAGCTTATTTAAGAAGATATTTTTCTCATCCAGCTCCGAGACCCGCTCAGCCAGAAATCCTCCCGGTACTGCGGATCGGTGGGCGAGACGCGCTGGGTGGCCGGCGGGAACAAAGCCGACCTGCACTTCCACTCAGACTACAAGTAAGTAAGAACAAAGACGATTGCGAAGGAGCTAATCTTAGCTCTAAGAAATGATCCACTCGGACTACAATTAGTAGGTAATCATATAAGAATAAAGACACATTTGTTGTGCGGTCAAGAATTGATTGTGGGATAAAATCAGTTCTGATTCGGCCTTGAAAGATTTCAGACGTAGATAGAATGATCTACTTATAAAATAAATAAATATACAGTTTGTAAAACAATCCGCAGACTGCATACTTTTTATCGGCCGACTAATTCCGTACTATATTTATATAAGTAGGTTAAAAAATACCAACCGAATTAAGAACCTCCTCTTTTTTGAAAATTTCTACAATTTCCAAAACACTTACTACTTAAAGGTAAGCACGCCTATCTGAAAGCCTACAAAATACAGAAACGTGTTATCCGTGAGACGCCCCGCGGCAAGCAGAGTCGATTCTCGTGTAATAGAGATCATCCCGAAACAAAGAAACGTTTTAGATTCTCTTTCAAAGGAAATCTACAAACTGTGTCGGTAGGATTCTTGACTTGATAAATTATTTGGAAGGTAGGCGTCAAATTAATTCGAAATGGCAGCAATTAACATTGTCATGTAACGAGATTTGCACTTGAGAAAAGTAAGATTTGATATTTTTTTCTAATTCTAAATTGTTGAGGATCGTCCCCAGATCGACGCAAATTACAAATCGTTTAAATGTGCAGATTGCTAAAACCACTCTCACTGCATGGACGGATTGAACGGTCTCCGTGAAATGGCAATTTAGGCTGAGTTGCACCACCTAACTTTAACCGTAATTATAACCACAGAATAATAATAAGTACTGCTATAACGATGACCGGTGTTTTTTTGTATAGTTTGACAGATTTTTGACGTTTGTCAAAGTTAAAGTAAAATGGTGCAACCCAGCCTTATACAGTGTGAGTCACGTTAAAGTGTACATATGAAAATAGATGAAACTAGACCTATTTTTATCGACAAAAAAGAGGTCAAAATTTTTTTGAGATTTTTTTTTTAATTTTTTATAGAATTTTTTTTCTTCCAATTACTTATTGTAAAGAAAACGTAATAACTTTTAAAGTAAGCGGTATATCCTGATAAAATAAAAACAGTAATAATGATAAATAACAGGCAATAGTAAAAAAATACATAAAATACACAAAAAATGCCAAAAAATAATAAAAAATGATACTTTTTGAAAAAAATCTGCTTAAAAATTCTTGTTTTTTTGGTTATTTGATAAATTTCTCCAAAAAATGCCCCTATAACTGGTGGTTTTTATTACTTTGTATTATTCTCTATCGTATTACCTTCGTAAAACCAAAAATCGCATGTCTCTATCCCTATCACAACATTTGCTATGATCGTTTGAACAAAGGCCTGCCACAACATTATTCTCCGCTATAGGTAGAGACAATTTTAATTTTAACTAAAATGCTTATTTTACTTCGAAATCTTTGGTTTTTATTTGAAATCTAACTTGTCTTTATCAAAATTACAAATCTAGAGCCATTTTCAGTTTCGTTGTTAACGAAGCGTTGAATGGCGCGCCCGGAGAGGCTTAGTTCAAATGATCATAGCAAATGTTGAAATAGGGATAGAGACATGCGATTTTTGGTTTTACGAAGGTAATACGATAGAGAATAATACAAAGTAATAAAAACCACCGGTTATAGGGGCATTTTTTAGAGAAATTTATCAAATAACAAAAAAAACACGAATTTTTAAGCAGATTTTTTTCAAAAAGTATCATTTTTTATTATTTGTTGGCCTTTTTTGTGTATTTTGTGTATTTTTTTAGTATCGCCTGTTATTTAGCATTATCACTGTTTTTATTTTATCAGGATATACCTCTTAGTTTAAAAGTTATTACGTTTTCTTTACGAGAAGTAATTGGAAGAAATAAAATTCTATAATTTTTTTTAAAAAAATCTCAAAAAATTTTTGACCTCTTTTTTGTCGATAAAAATAGGTCTAGTTTCACATATTTTCATATGTACACTTTAATGTGACTCACACTGTATTGAAAAAGGCTCGAATAAGACCGAACGTTCTACATACCATCATCGCATCAAACATTCCACCATTCAGATGATCAATCCTTCCAGCACCCAAGGCGCGGGATTCTCTCTAACCTGGGATGCAGTGGAGCTGATCGGATGTCCATCTCAGACCTTCACCTCGAAGGAAGGCGTCCTGAGAAGTCCCAACTACCCGCACTTTCTGCTGCCGAACCTGGATTGCACCATCGATATACTTGCTCCTGCTGGTATGTATCAATTAAATCATTAACAAATGAGGCATTAGTAATAAGTGGGACAGCTATTCTGGTTAGTTTCTAGACCGTTACTCTAATACGGATTTTTCAAACGTTATAGGCACTTAGGCACACTGCCAAGTACTTAACGAAACGAAGCATCTTTCCTGAAGCACTACGAAGTGTCTTTTCAGGCTGATTAGTAAATTAGTTAATACATTAGAGTCACCAAGTTCATTTATTTGTTTGTCATTAAATACCTAAATAATAATCATCCATCATCATCACATAGGTATTTAAGCCCAAAGCAAGAAGAACGCAATTGATAGATTTTGCAATATTTTTAGCTAATTCATCTAAGAGACAATTTTTTATCGTTTTGCGTTTTAATTAAACGAATAATTAAATGATCATTCATCATCACCACGTAAGCCCAAAGCAAGAAGCACCAAAAAGCACGATCATTTGATTTTGTTGATCTTAAAATTTACCTCTTTATTTACTGTTGATCTTAAAATTCTCTCGCAGCAATGTTCTTCCTACAGTTCGTCTCTTTTATATCCTAGGAAAACGCGTATTCCTCAACATCAGCCACTTCGACTTCGGCTACGGCACCTTCGACAAAGGCGTCCCCTACAACGTCACCGACTCAGTCCCCGAAGACTCGTTCCTAGAGGTGCAGGTAGACCTGCAGACCATGCCGATCCGGCCGTTCCTGAACCAGAAGATACTGACCAATGGGCTCTTTGTGTCCCAGTCGGAGATATTAAGGTTACGGCTGAGGACCGGGGAGAATGTCACCGGGATCGGGTTCATGGCGCATTTTAAGACGGGTAAGAAAATTATAAGTGCTTTCCTTGTTGTTTTTAGGAAGAATCTAACTAAAATGTGTCTTAGGTCAATGTTGTCTGAAATTATAATCGTAAAGTAATCGCTTGCCAAAAAGTTGTTCTTTGAAAAGATTTTGGTAAAATACTCTTTATCAATTTAATTAGATGGATTCGGGGTTATTCCCTTCCCACGTAAAACGAGATGTCAAGATGAGTGGACGGTGACACATATAGATGACCCACGCTGAACTGTCCCGCCAAACTCAATGACAGGGGGGCGCTACCATCGTTCAACTATATGGTTTCCAACATGGCAAAAATCTGAACCAGCGATCCGGTATTGACGGTGGCGCCCCACTGTCAATGTCATCGACAGGACAGTCCAGTATTTTGGAACTATACACCCGAAACAGCATTTCGGAGTAGCCTTGTTTTTAACCTTATGGTATGATGATAATGAAATATGCTGATGATGAATATGACATTTTCTTAGTGGGGTTTCTCAACCTAAGCCACGTGGTGGAACTACAGTCAGCTCGCGGCGGCCGCCTCGCTCCGCCCAACTATCCCGGCGCCGCGCCCTCTCAGGCGTTAGTCCGCGCGAGAATACTGGCACCACCGAGGCATACGCTGGCGATAGCCTTACACGCTGCGAGGTTGGCTACACCCCCTGTGGCTGAGGATGAAGACTCCAAGAATGAACCGTGTGGAGAAAACAACGGATGGATCGAGGTAAGTCTACATTCTCGCAGGGATACCTTAGTACGCGACTGCTAGCACCCCCGAGACACACGCTGGCTCTACACGCAGCTAGGCTGCCTTCATCTCCTGGCTGTGACTAACAATGAAAACTCCCAAGTATGATGCGTGGACCAGACAACCGGTGGATCGAGGTAAGTTCAACTATTTCGGCGCCACACCCACGCAGGCACTGATTCGCGCAAGGTTGCTAGCGCCACCGAGACACACGCTAGCGATAGCGCTACACGCTGCGAGGCTGGCTACACCCCCTGTGGCAGATGATGAAGACTCCAAGACTGAACCGTGTGGAGAAAACAATGGATGGATCGAGGTAAGTTCAATGAATCCCAGTGCCGCACTCACGCAAGCACTGATCCGTGCAAGGCTGCTAGCACCACCGAGACACACGCTAGCGATAGCGCTACACGCTGCCAGGCTGGCTACACCCCCTGTGGCAGATGATGAAGACTCTAAGAACGAACCGTGTGGGGAAAATAATGGGTGGATCGAGGTAGGTTCAACTTCTTATTGCGCATGCCCGAGCAGGCGTTAGTCCGCGCGAGAATACTGACGCCACCAAGGCACACGCTAGCAATAGCCTTACACGCTGCGAGGCTGGCTACGCCCCCTGTGGCTGATGATGAAGACTCTAAGAATGAACCGTGTGGGGAAAATAATGGATGGATCGAGGTAAGTCTATCACCCCAAGGCTACAACTCTCGCAAGGATACTCTAATGAGTGTTAGCGCCCCCAAGGCATACGCTAGCGATAGCGCTACACGCTACGAGGCTGGCTACACCCCCTGTGGCTGAGGATGAAGACTCCAAGAATGAACCGTGTGGAGAAAACAATGGGTGGATCGAGGTAAGTTCTATTACCCCGGTATTGCGCCCGCGCAAGCGTTAATCCGCGTGAGAATACTAGCACCACCGAGACACACGCTAGCGGTAGCGCTACACGCTGCGAGGCTGGCTACACCCCCTGTGGCAGATGATGAAGACTCCAAGAATGAACCGTGCGGAGAAAACAATGGATGGATCGAGGTAAGTTCAATAAAACCCAGTGCCGAACACACGCAAGCACTGATCCGTGCAAGGCTGCTAGCACCACCGAGACACACGCTAGCGATAGCTCTACACGCAGCGAGGCTGGCTACACCTCCTGTGGTAGATGATGAAGACTCTAAGAATGAACCGTGTGGGGAAAATAATGGATGGATCGAGGTAAGTCTATCACCCCAAGGGTACCACTCTCGCAAAGATACTTTAGTGAGTGTTAGCACCACCGAGACACACGCTAGCGATAGCGCTACACGCTGCGAGGCTGGCTACACCCCCTGTGGCTGAGGTTGAAGACTCCAAGAACGAACCGTGTGGAGAAAACAATGGATGGATCGAGGTAAGTCTTTTAAATCCGGGCTGCATTCTCGTAAGATTTTCTTGCAGCACGGTACACGCTAGCGCAGGCGTTAGTCCGCGCGAGAATACTGGCGCTACCAAGGCATACACTGGCAATAGCTCTACATGCTGCGAGGCCTGGCTATACCCCCTGTGGCAGATGATGAAGACTCCAAGAATGAACCGTGTGTAGTAAACAATGGATGGATCGAGGTAAGTTCAACTATTTCGGCGCCACACCCACGCAAGCACTGATCCGTGCAAGGCTGCTAGCGCCCCCGAGACACACGCTAGCGATAGCGCTACACGCTGCGAGTCTGGCTACACCCCCTGTGGCAGATGATGAAGACTCCAAGAATGAACCGTGTGGAGAAAACAATGGGTGGATCGAGGTAAGTTCAATGAAATCCAGTGCCGAACACACGCAAGCACTGATCCGTGCAAGGCTGCTAGCACCACCGAGACACATGCTAGCTATAGCATTGCATGCTGCCAGGCTGGCTACACCCCCTGTGGCTGATGATGAAGACTCCAAGACTGAACCGTGCGGAGAATACAATGGCTGGATCGAAGTAAGTCCACTACTCCAGGCTGCATTTAGTTAGTTTTGCAGGGCAATCGAATACCGCACTTAGCCTCATGATTGGGCCATTGTGCGCGCAGGCTGCATCTATGTAAGGAACTCATTCACGCTGGCTCCACTTGTTATGGCTAAAGAGGATGCTGTTGCTGCCTCTAAAGACCATTACCCCCTTCATTTTTTAAGATTTCCTTGATGCGCAAGTACTGCTGGCACCCCCGCGGTATACGCTTGCGCTCGCGCTGTAATCCGTCAGACTACATAACTAGTTGCTTTAGAAAAAAATTCAACTAATTTCAGGTTCAAGATAGCTACACCGACAACAACGGCACCCGCTGGGTGCTGTGCGAAGCTCGAGGGGCTCCAGCGCCACTCGTCATCCACTCGTACCTGCACGCTCTTACCGTCACCACGCGCGCCGGCAGCCACGGGCTCGCCGTCGACATCGCCGTCGCCGTCAACAAGGGTACGCGCTGTGGACCTTACTGCCCCGTCTTAAGGCTCAGAGCCGCTCGTCATATTCCGTACCTGCACGCGCGTCGGCGGCTTCGGGCTAGCCGTCGACATCGCCGTCGCCGTCAACAAGGGTACGCGCTGTGACCCTTACTGCCCCGCCTTAAGGCTCAGAGCCGCTCGTCATCCACTTGTACTTGCACGCGCTCGTCACCACGCGCGCCGGCAGCCGCGGGCTCGCCGTCGACATCGCCGTCGCCGTCAACAAGGGTACGCGCTGTGGACCTTACTGCCCCGTCTTAAGGCTCAGAGCCGCTCGTCATATTCCGTACCTGCACGCGCGTCGGCGGCTTCGGGCTAGCCGTCGACATCGCCGTNTCCAGATCCCCCCTTTGCTAGATATTTTATAAGTCACCCGCGACTTTTCATACCTTTTCATACACTCCCAACCCCTTTCTTATGAAAATAGTAAATAGTTAATCAAATAATCAAATTAACGATTAATGATTATGATTAATTAATCTTAATCAAAATTTTTGATTAATGATTAACTAATCATAATCAAAAAAAATTGATTATGATTTTAATCATTAATTTTTAATCATTAATCAGATTAACTTTTTGCCAACACTGTGCCCATACTGATCAACTGCCCGACTAAACTATCGGCCGACGAAAAATCAACGGTGTGCGCCTACTCTTAAAGCTCAGAGCCGCTCGTCATCCACTCGTACCTGCACGCTCTTACCGTCACCACGCGCTTCGGCAGCTTCGGGCTCGCCGTCGACATCGCCGTCGCCGTCAACAAGGGTACGCGCTGTGGACCTTACTGCTATGTCTTAAGGCTCAGAGCCGCTCGTCATCCAATCACCTGCACGCACTCAGCGTCACAAGGGTACGCCGCGTTATGATCCTTAATGCACTGTCTTAAGGTTCAGAGCTTCGCGTCATACAATCGCATCGCCACGTTACTCTCAAAAGTGTTTGTAGTCAATTTGCCTTAAAATCAAACATCAACCTTATGTACCTCATTTCAGACCCAGAATACCACAACAAACTGCTTCTGCTGCCTGACGAAACCAATTTGGAATCCTGCTACCCAAACCCCTGCTCGCACGGAGGAATCTGCGCTACCAGCGATCACAAGAACTTCTGCCAATGCAACGGATATTATACCGGTAAGTTACAGAGGTGATTTCAGAAAACAAGTTTTACGGGAATTCTGTAAGACTGAAGACTTTGGACTACTTAGTGCTTACGGAAAGATATAAAATTTGGCGACGGATCACCGGGCCGGAAGAAGTAGCGTGGGTAGGCCTCCCACTAGGTGGACCGACGATCTGGTGAAAATGCGGGAAGAACCTGGATGGCTGAAACGAACGAATAAAAGTTAGAACTACTTTGGAAAAGAAGCTTAAGAGATCTTAAAGTTCTGGTTTACCTTAATCCGAAACACGTATACGACACTGTTTATAAAAATTCGCGATCATCTGCGAACGAGAAAAAGGTCTGAAGCAATAAAAAAAAATCACAAGGCTGTTTTCAAAAAACCTACCTTCAACCGAGTGTTTATTTTTCAAGCATTCTGTCTCACATTCTTCAATCTTCATGTTTCCAGGTATATTCTGCCTGCTAACAGCCTGCGAGCGTTCTCCCTGCGTGTTCGGCAACTGCTCCCTCATAGCAACCGACGACGGCGGCTCCTATTCGTGCCTGTGCGCGCGCGGCTGGCGCGGCAAGCGCTGTGCGGAGCGCGTGCGAGCGTGCGCGTCCAGGCCTTGCAACAATAGGGGCGCGTGCACCGAGAGGGATGGCGGGTTTCTGTGCCAGTGCAACCCCTCTTGGAAGGGGAAGAGGTGCGTTGACAAGCTCGTTATCTTTCTCTATATAATATCTTCTGTCTAAATCATTGGTTCCCAAAGTGGGGGGCGCAAAGACCTTTAAAAAGGGGCGCGTGCCATCTGTGTACTTGAGTATAAAAAAACCTGCGACCGGTGAAAGAATGCATTCCAGACTGCTCGATACGAGCAATAAATAATCTTGACTGGAGGAGGGGGGGCGCGGAATTTTTTGTATGGTCGAAAGGGGGCGCGTTGGGAACCATTGGTCTAAATAGAGGCAACACCAAAAAAATCAAAGTACTGGCGACAGCACATACAGCGAAACATTATCACAAGGTAATGTCAAGTCGAGTTAATTGCGCACCTCGCTGGAATGCGACTTCCTCTCACATTGGGTGGATCGAGGTAAGTTCAATGAAATCCAGTGCCGAACACACGCAAGCACTGGTCCGCGCGAGAATACTGGCGCCACCGAGGCATACACTGGCGATAGCCTTACACGCAGCGAGGTTGGCTACACCCCCTGTGGCTGAGTATGAAGACTCCAAGAATGAACCGTGTGGAGAAAACAATGGGTGGATCGAGGTGCTAACAGCCTGCGAGCGTTCCCCCTGCGTGTTCGGCAACTGCTCGCTCATAGCGACCGACGACGGCGGCTCCTATTCGTGCCTGTGCGCGCGCGGCTGGCGCGGCAAGCGCTGTGCGGAGCGCGTGCGAGCGTGCGCGTCCAGGCCTTGCAATAATAGGGGCGCGTGCACCGAGAGGGATGGCGGGTTTCTGTGCCAGTGTAACCCGTCTTGGAAGGGAAAGAGGTGCGTTGACGAAAGAAAACGGTCTTTCTTCTATTTAGACAACGCCAAACAAATCAACGTATCACGTACCGGAAAACGCAGCGTGGGACGTCCACCCACAAGGTGGACCGACGACCTGATAAAGGTAGCGGGAAGGCGCTGGATGCAGGCCGCTACCAACCGTGCGATGTGGAAGTCATTGGGGGAGGCCTATGTTCAGCAGTGGACGTCCTGTGGCTGAAATGATGATGATGATGAAACAAATCAAAGTACTGGCGACAGCACATAGAGCGAAAGATTTATCACATGTTATGTAATGCTATTTTGCAACAATAATCTATAATAAAATCTAATCTGCTAGACACTGCAAAAGATTTTATACACATTATTAAGTTTGGGACCAAGTATTGCACCTTGCGGAAGCCCTATTACTGAAATTGTTCATTTAAGATTTTTATAGATTCGTCAATGGAAATACTAATTCGAGAAACATTTTGCTTCTCACTTTACAATTTAAATGTTTCTAATATTGCTACACTGTTTGTGTAATGACTAACTGATAGTTACTTTGTCGAAGGCTTTAGCCAAATCTAATTTGCTGATATTTTGTTATAAATTTTATTGCTACACTGTTTGTGTAATGACTAACTGATAGTAACTTTGTCGAAGGCTTTAGCCAAATCTAAATTGCTGATATTTTGTTATAAATTTTACCAATTTTCATCTCATCTCTATCTTCAGGTGCGAGATTCCAAATCCGACGCCCAACATCGTGAGTCTGGGAACACGGATGATCCAGGAACCCTTCTGGCTTGGCCTAATCGCCGTGTTTGTAGTCCTGGGCATCATCGGCCTGGTGTGGTGCGCCAAAAGACACTTCCCGGAAAAGATCGAGAAACTTCTGGCGGAGGAGGCCGACAGATGCGCTAGACGTAAGTACTTGCTACTGCTTCGGGGCGCTATAGGCGGTGTGGTTTGATTACTATTGGAATCGGGAATTGCCATGATGATATTACTTCTTTTCAGTATTAATACTAATATGATTAAGTTTATGTGACTGAACTCTCACATGCTAAGTGACGAAGTGGTCTCCTGCTCAGTAAATTCCATTTATCCTTGATTTACTTAAAGAAGACGCTGCAAGATTTTCACATTCCGATTCCACAGCGATTTGTGGTAATATGATCACTGAGATTAACATCTTGAAAAAGACTTGTGTGTATTTTTAATTGTGTTTTTTGTATCTTTATAACTTTAAAAAAATGTTGTTTAATAAAACAAATACTTTAGCAATAAGTATGTTGAACTCGATTGTGCTAATGTGTTTGATGCGAACACTAGTCAATTGAGTTCGTTTTGGCTTGATTTTGCCAAAGGTAAAAACTATGGATAGAGTTTTTTCGACAGTTTTGAAGACCATTAGACTGAGATCAATCGTAATCGAATGACACACTNTACGCCTGGCTGAAAGCCTACAAAATACAGAAACGTGTTATCCGTGAGACGCCCCGCGGCAAGCAGAGACGATTCTCGTGTAATAGAGATCATCCCGAAACAAAGAAACATTTCAGATTCTCTTTCAAAGGAAATCAACAAAATTGTGTCGGTAGGATTCTTGACTTGATAAATTATTTGGAAGGTAGGCGTCAAATAAATTCGAAATGGCTGCAATCAACATTATGTCATAACATCTTAGGAGATTTTCACTTGAGAAAAGTAAGATTTGATATTTTTTTCTAATTCTAAATTGTCGAGGATCGTCCCCATATCGACGCAAATTACAAATCGTTTAAATGTGCAGATTGCTAAAACCACTCTCACTGCATGGACAGATTGAACGGTCTCCGTGAAATGGCAATTTAGGCTGAGTTGCACCACCTAACTTTAACCGTAATTATAACCACAGAATAATAATAAGTACTGCCATAACGATGACCGGTGTTTTTTTGTATAGTTTGACAGATTTTTGACGTTTGTCAAAGTTAAAGTAAGATGGTGCAACCCAGCCTTATATTGAAAAAGGCTCGAATAAGACCAAACGTTCTACATACCATCATCGCATCAAACATTCCACCATTCAGATGATCAATCCTTCCAGCACCCAAGGCGCGGGATTCTCTCTAACCTGGGATGCAGTGGAGCTGATCGGATGTCCATCTCAGACCTTCACATCGAAGGAAGGCGTATTAAGAAGTCCCAACTACCCGCACTTTCTGCTGCCAAACCTGGATTGCACCATCGATATACTTGCTCCTGCTGGTATGTATACATTAAATCATTTTCTTAATCAAATGAGGCATTAGTAATAAGTGGGACAGCTATTCTGATAAGTTTCTAGACCATTAGGTACTTTACGGATTTTTCAAATGTTAGGCATTTGGGCACACTGCCAAGTACTTAACGAAACGAAGCATCTTTCCTGAAGCACTACGAAGAGTCTTTTCAGCCTGATTAGTAAATTAGTTAATACATTTTTAGTGTCACCAAGTTTAGTATTTGTTTGTCGTTAAATAAATAATCCTCCATCATCATCACATAAGTAAGCCCAAAGCAAGAAGAGCGCAATCGACAGATTTTGCAACACTTTTTAGATAATTCATCTAAGAGTCAATGAGGGCTATCGTTTTAGTGCTCACCAGTTAGCGCCACTGTAGAGTAAGGTCCTGTCAATCGCCAGGGGTGCCAACTATTAAGTAGAAAAACGATAGCCCTCATTGTTTTATCGTTTTGCGTTTTAATTAAACGAGTAATTAAATGATCATCATTCATCATAACCACGTAAGCCCAAAGCAAGAAGCACCAAAAAGCACGATCATTTGATTTTGTTGATCTTAAAATTTACCTCTTTATTTACTGTTGATCTTAAAATTCTTGCAATGTTCTTCCTACAGTTCGTCTCTTTTATATCCTAGGAAAACGCGTATTCCTCAACATCAGCCACTTCGACTTCGGCTACGGTACCTTCGACAAAGGCGTCCCCTACAACGTCACCGACTCAGTCCCCGAAGACTCGTTCCTAGAGGTGCAGGTAGACCTGCAGACCATGCCGATCCGGCCGTTCCTGAACCAGAAGATACTGACCAATGGGCTGTTTGTGTCCCAGTCGGAGATATTAAGGTTACGGCTGAGGACCGGGGAGAATGTCACTGGGATCGGGTTCATGGCACATTTTAAGACGGGTAAGAGAATTTTGTCGTACTGCTCAATGAAGGCTATGATCATTTTAGTGTACACCAGTTGGCGCCACTGTAGAGTAAGGTCACTGTCATTTGCTTTTAGTGAAGACAGTGGCGCCAACTGATGAGCGCTGAAGTGAAAGGACGACTATCGAAGTTGCACTCACCAGGTTGGCGCCTCTGTTGAGTAGGGTCATGTATGTCAATCGCCAGTAGTGCCAACTGGTAAGTTTAGAAACGATAGCCTTCATTGAACCTTTGACAGTACATAAATTGGGATTATCCCGCTTCTGCAAGAGCTTGCTTACAAGGAGATTAGGCCAATAAAGCAAGTTCCAGCACTTGTTATTCACTCTCACTTATTAATATTCTGGTATGGTGATTATTATCGTATCAACAGCCCTTTACAGTCCACTGCTGGACTATGAGCCACCTCCACTTAAGTGGAAGGTTTTGCCATATTCTCCACGCTTGGCAGGCGGGTTGGATTTGATATGATGATTGAGGTGCTTAATAATGATGTACCTTACCATTCCTCAGTGGGGTTTCTTAACCTAAGCCACGTGGTGGAACTACAGTCAGCTCGCGGCGGCCGCCTCGCTCCACCCAACTATCCCGGCGCCGCGCCATCGCAAGCACTGGTCCGCGCGAGAATACTGGCGCCCCCAAGGCATACACTGGCGATAGCTCTACACGCAGCGAAGCTGGCTACACCCCCTGTGGCAGATGATGAAGACTCCAAGAATGAACCGTGTGGAGAAAACAACGGATGGATAGAGGTAAGTCTATTATTCCCTCTCACAAGGAAACCGTGCGCGACTGCTTGCGCCCCCGAGACACACGCTAGTGATAGATCGCACTCAGCGAGGCTGGCTACACCCCCTGTGGCTGAGGATGAAGACTCCAAGAATGAACCGTGTGGAGAAAACAATGGATGGATCGAGGTAGGTTCAACTTCTTATTGCGCATGCCCGAGCAGGCGTTAGTCCGCGCGAGAATACTGGCGCCACCAAGGCATACGCTGGCGATAGCCTTACACGCAGCGAGGCTAGCTACACCCAATGTGGCTGAGGATGAAGACTCCAAGAAAGAACCGTGTGGAGAAAACAATGAATGGATCGAGGTAAGTCTATCACCCCAAGGCTACAACTCTCGCAAGGATGCTATAATGAGTACTAGCGCCCCCGAGACATACACTGGCGATACCTCTACACGCTGCGAGGCTGGCTATACCTCCTGTGGCTGAAGATAAAGACTCCAAGAATGAACTGTGTGTAGTAAACAATGGATGGATCGAGGTAAGTTCAACTATTTCGGCGCCACACCCACGAAGGCACTGATTCGCGCAAGGTTGCTAGCGCCACCGAGACACACGCTAGCAATAGCGCTACACGCTGCGAGGCTGGCTACACCTCCTGTGGCTGATGATAAAGACTCCAAGAATGAACCGTGTGGAGAAAACAATGGGTGGATCGAGGTAAGTTCAATGAAATCCAGTGCCGCACTTACGCAAGCACTGATCCGTGCAAGGCTGCTAGCGCCCCCAAGGCATACGCTAGCGATAGCGCTACACGCTGCAAGGCTGGCTACACCCCCTGTGGCTGAGGATGAAGACTTCGAGAATGAACCGTGTGGAGAAAACAATGGGTGGATCGAGGTAAGTCTATTAGGATTGAGGTTACATTCTCGCAAGAATACCTTAGTGCGCAACTGCTAGCGCCCCTCCGGTACACCTGGCGATAGCTCTACACGCTGTGAGGTTGACTACACCTAATGTGGCTGATGATAAAAACTCCAAGAATGAACCGTGTGGAGAAAACAATGGGTGGATAGAGGTAAGTCTATTATCCCCTCTCACAGGGAAACCGTGCGCGACTGCTTGCGCCCCCGAGACACACGCTAGCGATAGCCTTAACACAGCGAGGTTGGCTACTCCCCCTGTGGCTGAGGATGAAGACTCCAAGAATGAACCGTGTGGAGAAAACAATGGGTGGATCCAGGTAAGTTCAATGAAATCCAGTGCCGAACACACGCAAGCACTGATCCGCGCGAGAATACTGGCGCCACCAAGGCATACACTGGCGATAGCTCTACACGCTGCGAAGCTGGCTATACCTCCTGTGGCTGAAGATGAAGACTCCAAGAATGAACCGTGTGTAGTAAACAATGGGTGGATCGAAGTAAGTCCACTACTCCAGGCTGCATCTATATAAGGAACTCATTCCCGCTCGCCACTACGCTGGCTCCACTTGTTATGGCAAAAGAGGATGCTGTTTCTGCCTCTAAAGACCATTACCCCCTAGGCTTCATTTTTTAAGATTTCCTTGATCCGCAAGTACTGCTGGCACCCCCGCGGTATACGCTTGCGCTCGCGCTGTAAACCGTCAGAATACATAACTTGCTTTAGAAAAATTGTGTCGTACTTAATTTCAGGTTCAAGACAGCTACACCGACAACAACGGCACGCGCTGGGTGTTGTGCGAAGCTCGAGGGGCTCCAGCGCCGCTCGTCATCCACTCGTACCTGCACGCTCTTACCGTCACCACGCGCGCCGGCAGCCGCGGGCTCGCCGTCGACATCGCCGTCGCCGTCAACAAGGGTACGCGCTGTGGACCTTACTGCTCCGACTTAAGGCTCAGAGCCGCTCGTCATCTACTTGTAGTTGCTTCCTGCATACGTTCAGTGTCACGCAGCGCGCCGGCAGCCGCGGGCTCGCCGTCGACATCGCCGTCGCCGTCAACAAGGGTACGCGCTGTGGACCTTACTGCTCCGACTTAAGGCTCAGAGCCGCTCGTCATCCACCGTAGGCAGGGTACTCACCTAGCCGTGTAGCATGATACTGTATCAAGTAAGTACATAGGCACGAGCCCGCTGCGAGCTGCTCGCGCGTGGTTCGCAGGAAGATCGCAGCGACCCGCCGACTGGCGGTATCACTGCGAGCACAAATTCGGCTCGCAGTAGGATTCAGGAGCTCGCAGCCAGATACGCGAAGACCGTGGACGAGCCGTACTCACTTGAAGGTTGGTTACGTTACATGCTACGTTACGTGCTACATGACAGGTGAGTACCCTTCCGTACCTGCACGCGCTCGTCACCACCCGCGCCGGCAGCCGCGGGCTCGCCGTCGACATCGCCGTCGCCGTCAACAAGGGTACGCACTGTGGACCTTACTGCCCCGTCTTAAGGCTCAGAGCCGCTCGTCATCCACTGCACGCGCAATCAAATTAAAATCAAATTTCATCAAAGTAACGAGTAATATACGTACATTCCAGACCCGGAATACCACAACAAACTACTTCTGCTGCCTGATGAAACCAATTTGGAATCCTGCTACCCAAACCCCTGCTCGCACGGAGGAATCTGCGCTACCAGCGATCACAAGAACTTCTGCCAATGCAACGGATATTATACCGGTAAGTTATGAGTTCATAAAACTGGCTTTACGGAAATTTTATAGACTTAAAGTCTTTGGACTAAAGCCCGTTCTGTTAGCACGTAGAATTTTGTCCAATGACTCCAAGCTACCCATCCCTATCGCTCGCGCGTAATTATGTTGGTGTCGCGCTCGCACACTCACTGCGGACGCAAGTCAAGCACAGTCGCGACAGCAAGTGTGCTCACAGACCAGACTATACCTACTTAGTACTTACGGAAAGACATAAAAATTGGCGACCACGGGCCGGAAAACGTAGTGTGGGCAGGCCTCCCACTAGGTGGACAGACGATCTGGTGAAGGTCGCGGGAAGAACCTATATGGCTGAAACGAACGAATAAAAATTAGAACTACTTCGGAAAAGAAGCTTAAGAGATCTTAAAGTTCTGGTTTACCTTAATCTGAAACACGTATTTATACGACACTGTTTATAAAAATTCGCGATCATCTGCGAACGAGAAAAAGGTCTGAAGCAATAAAAAAATCACAAGGCTGTTTTCAAAAAACCTACCTTCATCCGAGTGTTTATTTTTCAAGCATTCTGTCTCACATTCTTCAATCTTCATGTTTCCAGGTATATTCTGCCTGCTAACAGCCTGCGAGCGTTCCCCCTGCGTGTTCGGCAACTGCTCCCTCATAGCGACCGACGACGGCGGCTCCTATTCGTGCCTGTGCGCGCGCGGCTGGCGCGGCAAGCGCTGTGCGGAGCGCGTGCGAGCGTGCGCGTCCAGGCCTTGCAACAATAGGGGCGCGTGCACCGAGAGGGATGGCGGGTTTCTGTGCCAGTGTAACCCGTCGTGGAAGGGAAAGAGGTGCGTTGACAAGCTCGTTATCTTTCTCTATATAATATCTTCTGTCTAAATCATTGGTTCCCAAAATGGGGAGCGCGCCGCCCAGGGGAGGCGCAAAGACCTTTAAAAAGGGGCGCGGGCCATCTGTGTACTTAAGTATAAAAAACCTGCGACCGCTGAAAGAATGCATTCCAGACTGCTCGATACGACCAATAAATAATCTTGACTGGAGGGGGCGCGTCTCAAATAAGTTTGGGAACCATTGGTCTAACTAAATAGAGGCAACACCAAAAAAATCAAAGTACTGGCGACAGCACATAGAGCGAAACATTATCACAAGGTAATGTCAAGTCGAGTTAACTGCGCACCTCGCTGGAATGCGACTTCCTCTCACTCACCCGCACATCTCCCCGCGTTCGCCGTGTTATGCTAGTTTGCAACAAAAATGTATATGTTACGGTCAAAGTGATAAATGTGAAAATTATGAATAATCGCCGGTTATTATGAATAATTACCACATGATTTGGTAAATGTGATTAATATGAGGTCATTTAAGTGTGTATAAAACTAAATAGCACCCTAACCTATTTTTCACTTTAAATCAAAACATTATGTTATGGGCATCATAGAAAAGTAATATTATGCAAGAAACATTCCAAACTCATTATGCCAAATTATATTTATATATGATATCAAAACGTTCAAAAGTTTGGTTGTACACGAGCACGTACACAAGATGTTGCTCTCTTTTATTAAATTTGTTACCTACTAAGGTTGAATTATTAAATAACCACTGTTAAATGTGATTAATTTATCACTTTTACCGCGACTGTCGGTAATTATTCATAATAACCGGTTATTATTAATAATTTTCAATTTATCACATTAACCGTAACATATATTCCGATGGTCAAGAGACCGTGTAAGAGATCTTATAAAAAACAGTATGTAAAGTTAGGGACCAATTAGTACACCTTGCGGAAGCCCCATTATAGAACTTGTTAATATTAAGATTTATAGATTCGTCAATGGAAATACTAATTTGAGAAACATTTTGCTTCTCTCTAATATTGCTAGATTACTGTTTGTGTAATGACTAACTGATAGGTACTTTGTCGAAGGCTTTAGCCAAATCTAATTTTCTAATATTCTATTATTAATTTTACCAAATTCAACAACATCGACAATGCACATAACAACAATGTCATCGCTATCTCCAGATGCGAGATCCCAAATCCGACGCCCAACATCGTGAGCCTGGGAACACGGATGATCCAGGAACCCTTCTGGCTGGGCCTAATCGCCGTGTTCGTAGTCCTGGGCATCATAGGCCTGGTGTGGTGCGCCAAGAGACACTTCCCCGAAAAGATCGAGAAACTTCTGGCGGAGGAGGCCGACAGATGCGCTAGACGTAAGTACTTGCTACTGCTTCAGGGGGCTATAGGCGGTGTGGTTTGATTACTATTGGGATCGGGAATTGCCATGATGATATTAATTCTTTTCAGTATTAATACTAATATGATTAAGTTTATGTAACCGCAATCTCCATGCTAAATGACGAAGTGTTCTCTTACTCAGTAAATTCCGTTTAAATCTTAATTTACATAGAAGAAGACGCTGGAAGATTATCACATTTCGATTCCACAGCGATTTCTGGTAAATGGCTGAGCTGATTTTAACATCTGTAAAAGAGTTGCATGTATTTTTAAAGACGATTATTGTTTCTTTTTGGAACTGTTTAACTTTAACAAATTGTTGATTAATATAGCAATAAGTATCTTGAACTCAATTGTGCTAATGTGTTCGATGCGAACACTAGTCGATTGAGTTCGTTTTGGCTTGATTTTGCCAAAGGTAAAAACTATGGATATAGTTTTTTCGCCAGTTTTGAAGACCATTAGACTGAGATCAGACAGTTTTTTGGAACCTGCTTAGAATAAACTGAGATCAATCGTAATCGAACGACACACTGCTGGAGGACAAATTCTTTAGGCTCCCAATTGGTACCAAATCCCATAACTCAGACTTGTTCTACCAATCAGTTTGTTGGCACACTCTCAACGCGTACAGCTTGTCACTGTCACGACTTTGGTATTATAGAGGCGTAGCATGGGGCTTAAATCATTTGACCCTGTCCTTGATGTATACCTATAGAAAACCATAAAGTAAATTGGATCCACCTACAAACGTAAAATCTACATAGATGATAATACAGGTAAGTATAAATTAAACCTTAAAGTTAGAAATCTTTTCTCTTTTGTTCTTATAAAATTTATGAACCCAAATTGGATACTGAGGACTTGATAAGATCTATAGCTAAGTTTGAATTAAAGGACAAAGTAGAAACTTTTAATGAATCAATTAAGATCGTAGTCCCCCACGCTACGCCACCTGGTAAATACACAGTTGACTTAGTTAATTTGATGAGGATACTAACTCTGTATAGCATTACTCTGTCACAGTAATATTGAAGATGCTTCCTTATAAGTAAGATTGTTTCCGCTAACTCATGTATTTTATCAATAAACGCACTGTCTCTGGGATGGTAAGGACACGTTTTGAGTACTTTTTCTTCTTTTGATATCTTTTCTATCTCTGTGTTTCCATTTGCGAGTTCAGAAACTTCTTTAGCCGTGAACCTTAGAGACTTGTCACTGATATGTCGGTGCATGTACTGGATAGCTTAGATTTGTACCCTCTAGATGTACAGTTTCTGGACGACGCAAATTAGGCAAATGCTTTAACTTGATTATAAAAGACACAATCATTGACGACGAAAAATCTCACAAACAAAATTTCGAAAATATTTCTAAAACTTGGTAAAATACAAGGAATATCTTCAAATGTAAGAGCACTTAACAAATAGATTGCAAATAAATCAAACAAAATCAAGTTGAAGTCATTGCATTTTTTCTGTAAATGTTTTTGCAAAAAGGATTACCAGATAAAACACGATGCGCTTGGACATCCCGAAACAACTGTATGCTTTAGTCCATTTAGTCATATTTCCTTTGAAACCTATAAAGTTATAATTCAAGATACAGCATGCACAAATAGAATAACATTATATTTGATTCTTACCCAAATACATACTTTATTAAACATGGTGGATCAACAAAGTATCGACTGTCAAAGGTAATAATTCAAATACATTATTCAAAACAGGCAGAAATTACAAATTTTATAAAATAACATTCAATTGGCATTTGGCATATAAATGAAATAATTTAATGTTCTTTTCGTACTGGAGGTATCTTGTCTTATCTTTAAATCCAATATCCTCAACTCAACGCCCATATTCTTGGACTCATTATAGATCTAACTCGACTTACAACTACAGGCAAGGCATCCCATTACAACAATGAAAACTATATTGAAACTACCTCAAAATTGACTGAATGTTGCCATTTCAATCTGCTTCAAAGAAAATTATACTTAAATTGAAGTAAATTCACTTTTTTTCAAAAATTGCGATGCCCTGGAGGTTGCTTCTAAAGCAAATACGTTAATGAGGGCTATCGTTTTAGCGCTCACCAGTTAGCGCCACTGTAGAGTAAGGTCCTGTCACTTGCTAGTAGCGAAGACAGTGGCGCCAACTTGTGAGCGTTAAAGTGGTAGGAGGACTATCGCATTTGCAGTCATCAAGATGGCGCCACTGTAGAGTAAGGTCCTGTCAATCGCCAGGGGTGCCAACTGTTAAGTATAAAAACGATAGCCCTCATTGAGATAATCCGCTTGATGAGATTTCCTCAAGATTATAATCCACGATTCCAAAAGACACTGGCAGACATAAACCTTTGGAAGAGGTTGCCACAACAAAAAAAAAGTTGCCACACAAAAAAGTCGAGTCGTTTAAGAATACGGGCGTGTCGCTGACGCGGTATACAGTATAGATGACCCACGCTGAACTGTCCCACCAAACTCAATGACAGGGGGGCGCTACCATCGTTCAACTATATGGTTTCCAACATGGCAAAAATCGGAACCAGCGTTCCGGTATTGACGGTGGCGCCCCACTGTCAATGTCATGCATAGGACAGTTCAGTATTTTGGAACTATATTGGGTTGTCCACGCACGGCCGCTAGCGGCGCGCGGCGGGCGCGCGGGCGGCGGGCGGCGGTACGCGGCCGTGGCGCGCGAGGAGCAGTGACCGCAGCGTTTGTCCACAGCCAGGCCTGGCTCACTCCGCGCGGTACATCCGATAATTATCTACAGCGAAGCGCCCCGCCGGCGGGTATTATATCAGTCGAGTGTCACGCGCGCGCCCGTCGGAACTTGATGTTTTGCCTTTAATAAATAATTTCTTTTGAATACAATTTATGATGTTTTAAGAATTTTATCGTTAAAATATTAACTATTACCTTTCCGTGTAGGTAAATGAAACGGAAGAGTAACATCGATACACCAAATTACGACAAGCTAGTTCTTTTACCATAATGCATAGGTACCCCAACAATATTCAGTAAAAAATAAATTGTTGCCAAAGTACAGCGAGTAACATTAGATTAAGTTTGTGCAAAGCCAAATACAAATGTTAAATAGGTATGAAAGAAGACATTGTATTAAAATTACTTTTTTTATCCTAAGTAGGTATATTTAAAATGTTATTTTTACAAAGGTCTAGCGCTCGGCGGCCGCTGCCGCGGCACGCTTCGCTCGCCTTCGCGCATTAAGGGTCACTGTTCTAACCTAACCTAACCTACTATTTTCTGCAATACCTACTTTTTGCAACCATACTATTTTCTGCAATGTTTTACATAAAATTATTGTGAAAACCATGATCATGTGCCTTATGCTTTGATTTGTGGGTAACGGTGGGTAAGTATGTGAAGTGTCAATTTGACCAAAAAAATTATTTGGGATATAATATTTGGCAACATAAAACATTTGCTATATAAACATTTGCCAAGTAAAATTTGCCCAAATGATAATTTGACCAAATGAATCAGTTGCGAAAAGTACAGTTGCTAAAAGTTCATTTGGGAAATGAAACTTTGGCGATAAGTTGTTTGCGAAGTGAAATTTGGCGAAAAGTAATTTGGCTAAACGGAAGGATACCCTTTTCGGTCTTCATGGTCAAAATTTCGAATTTAGGTAAAAGATAGATAGATAGATAGATGATTATTCTGGATTACTAATGTTTGGCCAAAAAACGTTTCCCAAATTATCACATCACAAACAACGTTTCGCAAATTTTCATTTGGCAAATTCTCATTTGGCAAAACAACTTATTGCAAACTTTTAATTCGCAAATGTCGTTTTTAGCATATTATTGTTTAGCAAATTATTGTTTGGCAAAGTATGTTTTNTCATTAGTAATTATTTTGTGTCCGGTTTTGGTGGCAGTAATCGGGGAGTACGTTAGGACATGGACATGAAACTAGGCTTTTACACGTCTCAGTATAAATCATTGTTGAAATTGGATTCACTTGATTCCGAGTTTATTAAAATCGTCGTCATCGGTATTTTTTTCGGCTTTGATGTTGGTGTTCCAACGTAATCAGCTATTTACTGCGTTAATATTTGTTCAGTATTGTCGCACAAATTACACAAATTTTCTACATATTCCAACCTCACGAATTCTCCAGTCTCAGAGATTTGATTTGACTCATCATATTCAATTTTCAAACTATATAAATTCAATATCATCCCTACCGACTTCATAATCACAAGAAATCCAATCTTTTTGACCATATTTGTTTTGATATGACACTTATTAATCTGAATGTCTTTACATTTCTCACCAGATTCGTTTTATCTGTGTCTACAATGTACTCGTGCGTATTACATGACTCACTTTTCTTACTCTCTGAAATGTCTGTATAAATTCACTGTAGTTCAACTTCACATAAATGTTGATTTTGATCGATATCGTTAACGTATAGACTTTCATTACCTACATCACTCACAAGTGCTGTATAGTCGATGGCTTCACTTATTCCTTATTTTACTTCAACTTTTTCGAACATTTGATTCATCTCAATCTCCATATTCTCTCAAGAGCTCTTTTCTCTCATCAAACTGTTCAAGTTTTCATCTCGATATTAAAAAAATCAGTAACTCATTTTAGTTATCCTAACATTCTACTCAAAATCATGATCTTTCTGAACATATTAACAAACCAGCTAAAATAAAAATACATTATTGAAACCATTTTGTTAAAGCTAAACTAAACAACGAAACTGCTNACAAATGTTAAATAGGTATGAATGAAGACATTGTATTAAAATTACTTTTTTAATCCTAAGTAGGTATATTTAAAATGTTATTTTTACAAAGGTTAAATAACTCTAATACTTACCTATATACGTACCTCATTACAAATACCTAAGTAGGTTAATTCTATTTTTTCACTAGACAGCATAGCAACCCTAATAGCGTAAGAAGAGTTCAGAGACACGCGATAGAAAGAAACAAAACTTGTAGGTGAATAAAATTGTAGGTACGTAGTACTGTGCGAGCTGAATTACACTGTATCGCGTGGTAGCAAGACTCGCATTTATTTAAATCGTCTTCGGAGTAATCCTTCTGTAGGTACTACTAATTTTATTCTGCAGTGTTGCCAGAAGGTTACTTTTGAACTGCATTGGTTACTTTTAGGTTACACTAATGAAAAGGTTACTTTTAGGTGATTTTTCAGAAATTGTAGAATTAACTTTTACAGGTTATTCAGTAAAAAATATTAATAGTGACAATTTAAAATTATGTCATAAACTGCATTTAAACATGAATTTGATTTATTATTTGTTAAAAAAAATGAGTAATGCGAATGTTTTTCTATAATAAAACGCAAATCCAGGAAGAAACGTTTTAAACGACCGCGGCCGGTCACTTTTCGGTCTTCATGGTCAAAATTTCGAATTTAGTTAAAAGATAGATAATATAGATTGATGATTATTCTTTTTCGCTCCTCCCCCCCCCCCCCCCCC